GGGGTGGGGGCGGGGCCCGGGGGCAGGAGGGGTCTGGCCGGTATCCCCAGCACACGCGCGCTCACCGGAACCCTGTGCTCCTTGGCTTGGCAGTCGCTGACGCCCAGCCCGCCCTCTGCGTGGGAGAATGATGGGGGTTGGCGCCGGCCGCCCCCTCCCTCCGCGTCCGCCTCTCCCCCCGCGTCCCCACGTGCGCTCACGGGAGACCGCGGGCAGGAGCTCCCGCGTGTGGGTCTCTGCGCTCGCACGAGGCCGCGCTGGCACCTCTGGCGGGTGGAAGAGCTTGCTGGCGCTCAGGCGTGGCAGCAGGGCCCGCGTCCTGGTGGGGCGACGGGGTCGTGGGGGCCAGAGCCCGCCGCGGAAAGGGGCGGTGCTGGCGGGGACGGGGCCTGGGGAAGTGGGGGTCTGAGGGGGGGTCCTGAATAACTAAGTGTGGGGGGGCGGATCTGGTGAGGGCGGGGCCTGCGGAAGTTGGGGGACGGTTCTTGCGGGGCGGGGCCTGGGGAGGAGGCGGAGACCGAGGGACGCGCGGTCCCCACCCCGGCCTCAGGCGCCCCGCCCGGGCCTGCCGCACCCGGCCGTGGGGCGGGGGTCGGGACCGGCGCCGCTGCTCGCGGCTGTTGACCCCCGGCCGGGCCTCTGAGAGCGGGAAGCGGTCGATGGACAAGTCGGTGTTGTCGTCGAAGATCCTCGAGACGGGGGTCACGCAGTGCGGGTCCTGGTGCTCACTGAGGACCTGAGGGCAGGAGGGGCGCGCGGTCACCCCCACCCCGCGATACCTTCCCCACCCCACCCCCGTCGGGACCCGCACTGACCTCGCCCTTAGGGCTCAGGAGGAGAGTCACGCAGCCCCGGTTGGAGTGGAAGTGGACGGATTCCTGGCCCAGGAACGAAGGCGGCTGTTTCTTGGTGCTGTCAGGTCCCTCGCCCCATACCTGGGGACAACACCGGGTGCGGGTGAAGGGCATGGGGGAGGGGCGGGAGCGCGAGGGCTCGCGGGGCGCGGGGCGCACCGTGACGTGGTGCCCCGGCGCCAGCAGCGTGTGGGGCGGGAAGCGGTACAGGCGCACGGGGACGTGGCGCGAGAGCTGCTGCAGCGTGAAGCCACCCAGGTCCACCGTCTCCTCCTGCGACTCGTTGAGGATGCGGATGAACCTCTTGCGACGGCTCACTGCCACGATCTTCAGGCAGAAGCTCGTCTGGCTGGGACTGGAAGGACAGAGCAAAGGCCAGTGCCGAGTCGCGTGGGCCGGTCTGCCCCCTCCCGCTGGGAGACCCACCCCTGGCCCTGTGCTGGGGGCTGCATCACTCCCTCACCTCCAATGGAGCCCAGGATGCGGGTGGTCCGGATCTGCATGGGACCTGGGTGCCAGGACGGTCTTGCCTGACTCGTCTGAGTGGGTTTTTGGGAGATCTAGGGAGAGGAGGCCTGTCCAGGAAAGGGAACCCCATATAGAGCACCCACTGGGGACAACTGGCCTGCAGCGCCCTGAGGGTCCATGTGGGAAAAGAGTAGCACAGGGGTCAGAGTTAGGGCAGGAGGACCCTGGGGGTTGAGGGGAGCAGAAGCATAATTCAAAGTACTTGTTGGGGGGGGGTTGAATCAGAGCACGGAGACCTCCAAGAGCACCCTAACCCCTACAGATGAGGCTAGAGAGGCCCTCCACAGCCTCCCTCTGGGCTGCAGACCCCCTTTAGAGCTTCGGGCAGAGATCACAGCCCTGCAGGACAGAAGGAAGGAACCAGTGGAGTTCGCTGCACCCCACCTGCAGGCTCTGCCTGTGAGCCCCTGCCGAAGCTCCTGGCCTGCGATTCTGTCTGCTCAGGAGAGTGGCCTGGTGCCTGGGGCGGGTGCCCATTCACATGCACTGGAAACCTCATGTCCAGCTGGGAGCTGCTCAAGTCAGAATCGGTGCCCCCCGAGCTGCTCATGCCCCCCAAAGGCAGAGAGCTCCACTCCACACTCTTGATACGCCGCTCCATGTGTTGTCTGCACAGCTCTGAGCCACACTTGTCAGGCGGCTGGGCTGGTGGGAGCTCTGGGGACAGCCAGGGCCCAGGGTGCCTGTGGGCCGCCATTTGCTCACTGGCTGCTTGGCTTCACTCCTGGACCCCAGCCCTGCCCCCATCCAGCCTCCACAAGGCTGGCAGAGCACCCCAACTTGTGGTCTGTAGGACCCGGCCTGGGAATAGGGCTCATGGCAGGACACAAGATAGCCCAGGAGTCCTTCCCTGCATCCCTGTTCTATAGATCAGAGCACTGACACTTGCAAAGTTTAAGTGACTTGTCCAGGGACACTAAGGGTGGAACTTGGACTCTGGTCCACATCGGCCAAGGCAAGCCCTCCCTCCCCTGGCCCCTGTGGGTGTTGCTGCCCAGCCCGGTTACTTGTGATCCAAGTTCGACTTGATGTCGGTGAAGAGGTTGGGGTATCGATGGGCGATGCTGTTCCAGTCCACATCCTCCAACCGGAAATCCTGGCCAGGACACAGGCAACAGGCACATGCCCCCCACCCCCCACACACCTGCAGAGCCATGAACGAACGTGATGGGCAGTCCTCACCTCCTGAGCGGGGGGAGCCTCGTCACTCTCAGATAGGCTACTGAGGTCCATTAGGGTCTCTGCAGTCACCACCTGCAAGAAGGGGCCGGAGGCCAGCGGGCGGGGGCTGGGGGAAGGGCACCTCTTCCCTTGGACCTCACCCACACCTGAGGCACACACCTGCTGAGTGCCAGGTGGGCAGTGCCTGGGGCTCCATCCTCCCTGTCCCAGGCATGCTGGCTGTCAGGGAAGTCCAAGGAGGGATGGGAAGGGGACATGGGTGGGCAGCACGGACGCTGACACACAGGCTCACCTCCACGCTGCCGGTGGATGACCGCAGCACCCGGCCCACCCAGGAGGAGCGGGCCAGCTGCAGGAGGCAAGACTTGTGCAGGGCGTGCAGCTCAGCCTCCAGCTGCTGGAGCGCTGCCCTGCTCTGCAGCAACTGCTCCTCCACAAGCTCCTTCTCCTGCTCCAGGGGGGCCCACAGGTAGGTGGGGCCTTTTCAGATCCCGCCCCCAAGACAAACCCCAGCCCAGCTTCCTGACGCCTCACCAGCTGGGCCTGTTTTTTCTGTTCCTTTAACTCCACAGTCAGCTTCTGGACCTCCACCTGCAGGAGCTTTTCCTGACTGCAGGAGTTCCTGGGAGAAGGGGTGATAGTGCACCCCACCTCTGGGTCAGCAGCCAAGGAGAGGCCCAGGACACATAGTGTGGCTGGGTCAGGCTCTGAGATGTCTGGGTGTTCGGCACCAAGGACATGTTCAGGGTTAGGGTCTGGGCAAGTTTACAGTGTATCGACTTTTTCACAGTTAAGGTTGGGGATTAGGATCAGGTAAGGGCTAGGCCTAGAGGCTAAGGTCAGTGGTTGGGGTTGGGGTTGGGGTCCGACAGAAACCAGCGGTTAGGGCCAGGCCAGGGCTGGAGGACTGGTGTTTTGCCACTGACCTCTCAAGTGGAAGCCCAGCCACCTCCCGCAGGATGCGGCCACGCCGGGCATCCCCGCGGTTCTGGATGGCACACCGCAGGGCCTGGATTTCCAGCTCCCGCTGCCTCCACAACAGCCCCAGGGTGTGGGGGTCCAGGCACTCAGGGGCCAACCTGCAATGCCTGCAGCCCAGCTGCTTGATCAGGCCTTGCCCTCTGGCTGGCCTGGCTCAAGTGGCTGACCACCCCTCCATCTCCTCCTTACTGCAGGTTGATAGAGGAGACTATTGGTGTGGAGCTTGGCTTGGTGTCCTGCAGGCATACGGGAGCCACCAGGTCTGCAGGCCTGCCAGCTGGAGGCCCCAGGTGGCCACTGATTGGCTCTCTGTCCACCAGGGACAAGGGTGGGTCTTCCTCAGCTTCTCCAGCCTCTTGGCAAGACTTGGGGGTCATTCTTGATATTCTTGGAAGAGCTGAGAGGGCTGGTGGGGCAGTCTGCCCTGTGTCCTGTGTGTGGGCACATCTGTGGGGCTCTCTTTCCATGGCCGCATGCACATGAGGCCCGTGTGTATGTGTGTGTGTGTGTGGGGGGGTGTCTCTACCCCATAGGACACCAGACTGCTGGTCATGTGGGTGACCACACCTGTGTGCTTCTGAACAGCCCAGGGCAGCAGGTCACACCCCCAGGCAACCTGTCCCTGGGCTCTCTACATTCCTTGTGGTCTCCTCCCTGTCACCCTTGCCCTCCAGGACCTGAGGTCCTGCCCCAGACTACAGCAAGGGTCCCCAGAGGTGCTGGTCCTCTACCCTCGACACCTATGTCCCCCCAGACCCAGGGCCCTACCCCCAGCACTCACCTGAGGCCTGAAACCCAGGCAGGCCTGGGGAGAGAAAGGCTCTATGACGTTGCCATGGATACTAGCACCCAGAAGGGGAGGGGCTGTTTGTTACCAGGAGCCTCCTGGGAGACCCCAGACCAGGGCCCACCTCCTTATCTTGGGGGCTGGTCCAGCCTGAAGGAGAAGCTGTGAGAAGCTGAGCTGCTGCCCAACTAATCTCCGCAGGCCCAGGGGACCACAGAGCGACCAGCAGGGTCTGCTATGGTCATCACTCAGCCCAACACCCCCAACCAACCTTGAGGGAGGCTCCCACAGTCCCTCCCCAGCCTGACGGTGGCAATCGATCGGTGGCTCTTGGGTGCATTGCTGCCCTGGGTATCCACGAGCCAGCAGGACCACACACCTGAGAATGTGGGTCTCAGTGGGCCCAGCTGATGAGCAGAAGAGGAAGCAGTGGACAGCCCTGGGAAGCTGGGGGAGGGGCCTGCGGAACTCTAACTCCCACCCAAGTGCCTCCCACAGCCTCTGCCCTCGAGGCTGACGCTCACCTACCTGACCCCCACACCAGAAACCTCACCTTCCCCTGCCATCTCCACAACCCAGGCCATCGCAGGGTGCCCTGGGGACATTCCCATAACCATGATACTGTTCCCTCCGCCCTGGAACAAAAGTGAGGCCCCAGACAGGCCTAACCACAAGACAAGTGCCCTCCCACCTTTGCCCCCCACCTCACCTTCATTCATTCATCATTCATTTATTCAAACTTTCCACTTCTGTTTCTGTGGGCCCTCCTGTGCTGAGCATGACAGGAGCAGGTGGGGGAAGACCCCCCACGGCCCAGACTGACTGGGGCAGAAGAGGCTTTCAGTGTGGTCCACAGAGAGAGCATTGAGGCCAAGGGGTCATGGCTGATGAGCTGGCTGAGGCTCTCCCATGGGACCCCAGGACTGGCCAGGCAGTGTGTCCACAGCTCAGGAGGGCACTGGGCCCCACTGGGGACAGGAAGGGATGGGGGAAAGGAGGCTCAGACGAGGAGCCCAGGACCTTTGTCCCCGGCAACCTCGGGGCGGGCCCCCTCCCCCACCAGGACTGTCAGCCTGATTGCAGCCAGAGAAGGGCGACGGCCCACCAGCTCCACCTCTCCTCCTGGGTGGCTCACAGCCCCCCCCCCCCCGAACCCTATGTGTCCCGACGACGGCCGCCGTGGCCCCTGAGGGAGCGGGGTCGAAGGGGCCAATCAGACAGGGGGCCCTCTGAGCGCTGGCAAGCTTTCAGGGTCCCAGGCCGGCGCCCCCTCCATAGACGAGAGACTCGTCAGAATGGGCGGCTTCCGAGGAAGTAGGCCGGAGAATGGGGCCAGACACCTGCCCCACGCACCGCCCGCGGGCTGTCGGCCAGGACGCGCTTCCGCGTGGTTCGCGGGCTTCCAGCATGAGTGGACTTGGGATCCAGGCGGGAGTGGACCCGAACTCCACCCGCCACGCGTAGCCGCCAAGCCCCGCCCACACCTGGGAGACGCCGGGGGGGGCGGGAAGCCAATGGGGAGGGGAGGGGCGGGCACATAAAAGGTAACCAATGGGCGTGGGCGCGGGGCGGGCGGGGCGCACCGAGGAGCCAATGGGGTCGCGTGGGGCAGGGCGCTCGGGCAGCGGGCCAATGGGGTGGCGGGCCGGGACGCTCCCGCTGCACTGCTGGAGGCAGGTTGCGGCCGCGTTGGGCTCTACAGGAACCGGTTCGAGTCCAGATACCGGAGGCCAGCGGGCGACCAGGTGAGCGGCGCCGAGACCCGGAGCCTGCTGAGTGCGGAGCCGGCCTGGGCGGCAACTCCGACGAACGGGTGCGAGCTCGGCCTCCCATGGGGGCCGCGTCGCACCTGCACCCTCCCCGCGGCAGGGTCGGCGGCTTCCGGGGCGAGCGCAGAGATCGGCGGGAGTGGGAAGGGGCTGCCTGCGCCAGGCTTGGTGGGTCCGGACCGCCGAGGTCTGAGTCGCAGGGGAGGGTGCGTTCCTATGGCAGCGGGGTGCGGAGTTTAAGTGTGGGCGCCCTTGGGTGCCTGGGGACGGCACCCCGCGGGAGGGGCAGTGCCCTCCGCGCCAGGTGACTGGAGGGGCAGGAAGTCCTGCATCTGGTTAATGATTCGCCTTGTTCCGGGCGTGGGGCGGGGCGAGAGGAGGCTGGGGAGTGGGAAAGCTCCCGAGTGCTCCTGGAGGGCGGCTGGTTTCCCCTTTGGAGGGGGGCTGGTCTTGACTACCCCCACCCCAGGAATGCGTGGCCTGCGGGTAGGGCTGGGCACAGAAGAGCAGGGCGGCTGCCCTGAACCAGTTCTGGGGGTGAGGGGCAGGCCAAAAGGAGCAGGAGAGGAAAACCAGGCTGTGCTGGCGCCAAGCAGGGCTTGACCCTGTGGCCTTCACCTGCAGTCAGGGATGCTATCAGGGCCTGCGGGCATGGAGCTGAAGGTGTGGGTGGACGGCATCCAGCGCGTGGTCTGTGGGGTCTCGGAGCAGACCACCTGTCAAGAAGTGGTCATCGCACTAGCCCAAGCTATAGGTGAGTCCCCTCAGGAACAGACAGGCCCAACAGGTGGACCTGGGGTGGGGCCTGGCCCTCTGGCCCTGTCTTCCCCCAAGGAGGGTGGGACTGGTTGCTGATCCCTCTTGCCCTCCCCCAATTCCTGAATCCCGCTGGACAGGGTGGGGGGATGTAGGCTGACCCCTCTCCCCCACCCCAGGCCAGACGGGCCGCTTTGTACTCGTGCAGCGTCTCAGGGAGAAGGAGCGGCAGCTGCAGCCCCAGGAGTGTCCAGTGGGCGCCCAGGCTACCTGTGGACAGTTTGCCAGTGATGTCCAGTTTGTCCTGAGGCGGACAGGGCCCAGCCTCGCTGGGAGGCCCTCCTCAGACAGCTGCCCACCTCCTGAGCGCTGTCCAATTCGTGCCAGCCTCCCCCCGAAGTCGCGACCGGCACTGAGCAGTGAAACCCACAAAGCACTGACCTTTAGCCTGGGCTGCCCCAGGCTTGCCTCTAGCCCTGTGCTGCCGGAGCCTGTGGCCCCAGGGGCCCCAGTGCCAGGCTGCTGGGCAGACCTACAGGGCCTGGAGCAGAGGGTGCAGAGGAACGCCGCAGAGCTGGGCCAAGAGGCCTTCTGGGGGCAGGAGCTGCGGAGGGAGCAGGCTCGGGAGCGTGAGGGGCAGGCCCGCCTGCAGGCGCTGAGCGCAGCCACAGCCGAGCATGCTGCCCGGCTGCAGGCCCTGGATGCCCAGGCCCGCGCCCTGGAAGCCAAGCTGCACCTGGCTGCAGAGGCGCCTGGACCCCCCTCGCCCACAGCATCTGCCGCGGAGCGCCTGCGCCAGGACCTGGCTGCCCAGGAGCGGCAGAGTGCAGAGCTGCAGGGCAGCTTGGCCCTGGTGAGCAGGGCTCTGGAGGCTGCAGAGCACGCCCTGCAGGTGAGCTCACGGGACCTCAGCCCTGACTCGGTGGACTGGGGGGGTTGGCTTCTGATCAGACGAGGGAGAGCACCAGGCCATGGAGCCCCATGGCTGTGCCCCCTGCCGATCCCGTGTGCCCCAGGCCCAGGCCCAGGAGCTTGAGGAACTGAACCGGGAACTCCGTCAGTGTAACCTGCAGCAGTTCATCCAGCAGACGGGGGCTGCACTGCCACTGACCCCACGGCCAGACAGGGCTCCTGGCACACAGGTCAGTGGTTCTGGAGGGAAGCCAGGTCTGTGGGGGGGGCCTGCGCCCAGTTCCAAGCTGACCTGCTCTCCCCACAGGATCTTATGCCTCCAGCCAGTGAAATGCCTCTCCTGGGAGCTCCCCGGAGTCCTGCCCTAGTGTCTAGTCTGAGCCCAGAGGGTATGTCCGTCTCCTCCACGGGGTGGGGCAAGTTCCTCCTGTGACCCCTCAGCCTTCTCAGCCTCTGTCCTCTCCACAGTTACCCCCATGAGGCAGAACTCCTGGAGGTAGCAGCTTCTGCCCCAGAGTAAACATCCACTGCCAGCCCAGCCCTGGGCTCTGATGACATGAGTGATGGCAGCTGAGGCCAGCCTGGCCTGGACAACAGAAGAAGTCGGTGGTCATAGAGGACTCCTTCCCCCATGCAACTAGAGGCCTTCAAGCCCTGGGCCTGAGACAGAACACCTTGGCGCTCGGGGGTTTCTTTTCTGCTGCAGTGGGCAGGGGGAGGCTGAGCTCTTGCCTTAATCCTTGCCAACTCTGCCAAGCTCCCTGGAGAAGCTTGGGGCATGGCCAGCTCAGAACTTGCAAGGCCCCAAAGGCCACAGTTCCTTTTGGGGACGGCAAAGACACAGACACTGTTGAGTCTGTGGAGATGTGCTCATGTGGGAGGTTTCGTCACCACGTGTGTGTGTGTGTGCGCTGCCTCCTCCACTGTGACACTAAAGCTTCAATAAACTGCCTAAAGTGGTTTGACTGTGTCCTGAGGCCACGCTGGCCAGGGTTTGTGGGGTCTAGCCCTTGAGACTCCATCCACGGTGCCTCGGGAGTACCCGAGTTGCCTGGGGCTGGCCATAGCCAGGGCTCCTGAGAAGGGACCCTCCCAGGGTGGGTGGCTAGTCAGATCCAATCCCGGTGCTCCCAAGGCCTCACATTTTAGGCTGCTGTGCCCACCTACCCCGGGGGCTGTCCTCTGCAGCCTGAGCCTGCTACTGGACACGGGTGGCCTGAGCCCTGGCTTAGGTTTCTGGATGCCTCTCCCACCGGGCTCCCCTCCTCTGGCCTGCTCACCAGCAGAACTGCTGCCCACTCTGGGGTGGCTCCTGGATATGGGGACTGGTGAGGATGCGAGGACACGCCAGACCTGCCTGTCAGGTTGACTGAGTCTGGGAGCTTGTGGGGCGGGCCCAGGGAGCTTTGTAGGCCCTGGGAGGGTGTGGCTGCCCCTCTGCTCCCCAGGTGGGCGTGAAGCCTCTGCTACATGCCTGCAGCCTCTGCTACATGCCTGCAGCCTTAGAATCAGGGCAGGTGTCCAAATTAGGCCTGACCTTGGCAGGGCTGCAGCCTCCCAGCCCTGAGGGCTGTGGCTAGGATTGGAACTTGGGGGGTGGGCTCTAAGCCTCAGGTGCAGCCATGGGTAGTATTGAGGGACATTATAAATCCTGGGGGTCTTTGTGCTGAGTTTTGGGGTAGGCATCCCTGGGATGGAGTCAGCCTTCTCCTGGGGCAGCCCCTGAGTCAGGCCCGGTGCTCCCCACTTCCTTTGGGGCAGATCACAGGAGACATGAAGTCCTAAGTGTGAGGAGCAAGGAAGCCAGGAGCATAGCTTGTGGGGAGTAGGCAGGACTGGCGACTTCCTGCCTGAGAGGGAGCATAGCTGAGCGGCTGGGCCGGCCAAGTGGCAAAAGGAGGCTTCTAACCTTGGTGTCAGGGAACCCAGCCCAGGTTTCCTCTCTGCGAAGCTCCCAGCCCAAACACAGCAGTCTGTTCCTGGGGACTGGACTGGCTTGACCTGTGGCCCCAGACAGGCCCAAGCACAGGGTCACATGGGGTGCAGCCCGGAGTGGAAAGGCTGTTGAGGCTGCGCCCTGGTAGAGGGGCTGAGGGCTGTGGGCAATGACCACCAGGTCTGAAGGGCCTGTTCCCCTCACCTGCAGCCCTCACCCACGCTCAGGAAGCTTGGATGGATCTCTGGGCACCAGCCCTGAGCCCCTGCTTGGGGTCATCTCCCAAGCTGGACGCACAGGCCAGCAGGGGCAAAGCCAGGTGCCATCCAGGGACCATCTACACACATGGGATAGGGCAGGACTAGCCCAAGCCTTCCCATGTCATGAGCTTGTTCACTGAATTTCCCAGCCCCCAAAGGAAGCAGGCACAGAGCTGGCAGAGCTCACACACTCCTGGTCTGTGTCTATTTCCAAGGGACACCTGTTTCTTCTGAAGCCACCATTAAAGACTTGTCCCTGCTCCGCTACTAGCTCTGAGCAAGCTAATGAGCCCTCTTCTCCACCTCAGGGGTGGTCCTCAGGCAGCCAGATGCCTCTGACTGCTCAGGTGGATAAAAGCCCACGCCACCAAAGTCACAGAAGTGCTTCAGATCACTAAGAAAACCTCTGCGTGGCTGAAAAGTTTACTTTTGAGTTTTAAAGAGTACATTGAAAACGATGTGAGCTGTGCTGAGGTGAGGAAAAGCAAATGTCCAGTTCATGCCAGGGCAGGACCAAGCCAGGCTAGGCCAGCACCCCAGGTCGCTGAGGCAGGACCCTGCTTTGTGTGAGGACCCTTGTCACTGGTCACTGTTGCCTTGAGGCCAGGCGGTGTTGGCAGGTGGCGCTGGAGCCCCTGCTGACCTCAGCGTTCCTTTGCGCCCCCAGCGGGAAGTGCCCTCAGGCTGGCTGAGAATACCGGGGTTCACTGAGGGTCACCCACAGTAAGTCAGCTCCACTGATTCTCAACCCCAAGGGCACTACAGCTTCCCTGTCACCTGCAGAACCTGGCCCCGCTGAGTCTGCTGGGTGTGACACCACAGTGACCATTGGGACAGGGCTCTTCCAAAGGGAGTCCAAGTCCATGGCAGTCCCTCAGGCCGGACAGCTGCAGGCCCAGCTCCAGCCATCAAGCCCCACTGCCCAGAGAGGGCACAGGGCATGCCGCAGGCATCATGGCACCAGCAGGTCTGGAGGCTGCTCTGGGCCCACTCTATGACCAGCGGCTGGCCAGTAGATTCCCACCGTGGACATGCAAGCAGCCAGCAGAGAAGGTAGGCCAGGAAATCGGCCAGGTGCTCCCACCTCTGGAAGTGGAATGTTGTTGGCACCACAAATGGTCTTTGGTGTTCTCACTCACTTAGTGGCCTTGCTGAAGGGGCAGAAATGCACAGAAAAGTCAAAACTGTCACTATCTTCCTTAAGAAAGCTCCCAGAGGTGCCCCTCAAGAGGCTGGTCCTGGAGGCTCCGGTCCTGATGGCAGAGGATACTGACCACAACACCCGTGCCTGCCTCACATCCAGAAGACCATCCCAGGAACTGTGCACATCCTGGAACCCTGTGACACACAAGGAAAAGAAAGTTCCCCCCAAGAGGGCATCTGGTCCAACCTGAGCCCCCCCCTTCCCCCGGCAACGTTCCCCCCTACTCCCCCATGCCCCTGGGTGTCTGTTCAGCACAGACAGGCGGACCCTTCCATAGGGCCTCGTCCCCCTACCCCCCACCCTCCGCCCTGGCGCGCGCCCTTCCACCGGGTGTGGCCTCCCCCTGCCCGATACAGCAGGGTCACAGAGGGGCTGGGGCGGTCGCGCAGCCCAGGGACAGATCAGCCGCTGTCACACGCACAGTGGGTCCGAAGCAGCGCAGTGTGCGGTGGGCAGTGGCTGCCCTGCGCCTGGAGGGACCACCGGGCAGACGGAGGGGTCGTCCCGCACTCCGACGCCTCCCTCCCTTCCAACTCGGGTTTCCGAGCCCCCAGTCCGCGGGGCAGGGGGGGGCCTTTGGGGTGCGCCCCCGCCCGTTGGCCTGGGACCCGTCGCGCGTCACCTGCGACTCCGGCGCGGGGCCCTCGCCAGCTCACAGCCCAACTTCGGCAGGGACCGCGGCCCCCTCGCGCCCCCGCGGCTCCGCGCCCGCGCTCCGCTCCCAGCCCGTATGCAAATACGCGGGTCCGGCGGCCAATGGCTGGCCGGGCTGGGCCCGCCCCGCTGCACTGCAGCCAGTGAGCGCGAGTTGCGGGGCGGACGCCACGCCCACCGCCGCGCAGCCCCTCGCGGGCGCGGCCGGCGCGTTCCTTTCCGCACGTCGACCTCGGGGCGGGGCCGCCACCTGCCGGGCGGGGCCTGGGGCGCCTGGCTGCTGTCTTGCGGGCCGCTCCCCCGCCTTCTCCGCGGGGTGGTACAACCCGAGGCGCACTCCCCGCCCGGCGCGCGGAGGACGGCGCCTCCCTGGGAACCCGCGGGGCTCCGCGCACGTAGCCAGGGCTGGGGCCGAGGAGGGGCCTCGGCCTGGGGACGCACGTACTGCCCGCGTCTCCCCCGCCCATCCCGGAGCGGTCTGGCGGGCGGGGCGGGAGCTCCAGCTCCGCCAGGTTTGCCTCGCCACCCTTGCCCTGGGGACCCTGGGTCCCTTCTGTGGGATATGTCATCACGGAAGGCCCGGAGTCTGAGTCCAGAGCGCAGGGCGCTGCAGTGAAAATGTGTAAATCAAGAGAATGGACTGTTTCAGACCTGGAGTTATCGACTCCTGGGTGGAACCCCAAGGTGGCAGCCGTGGAACATTTGGCCCTGGACCCCTTCTCTTCACACTCCTCTCCCGCCTTTATGGCCAAGGAGAACCCTGAGGCAGAATCGGGTCCTCCAGACTCCTAAAAGGGTAGGAAGGTGCCTGCTCCCCTTTTGTCCCTGGCACAGGGGTCCTCGTAGGCCCTTTGTGCCACTGCCAACATCAGCAAGAGCTCCCCTTTTCCCCACCTCCTTCAAATGCACCAGCCTCTGGCACCTGCCTCAGAGCCTGACCCTCCCTGAAGATCCCACTCTCCTGGCTCCAGGCAGCATCAAAGGGTCCCTCCTCTCCCCATGGCCATGGTCCTTGGCCCAGGGGCTGTGCCCCTCAGCCTCAGCCACCTGGCCCCCTGGCTGCCCTCAGGCCCCCCTTCCCTCCAACTCACCACCCCACTGCTGTCCTCCTTGCCCCCAGTGACTTACCTGCATCCCACATGAGCCTGGGCTAGAGCCCCTGAGCTGCCACAAACCCATCACAGGACTGTCCTTCCCACCATCATGGTCATTTAATTTCTTCCTTCAAAACTGTTGCCTAGGTGGCTCAGTGCTGGCACTCCAGGGTGGCGTCTGCCCCTGCCCAGGACCTCAGGAGTGTGAAGCCTGGTGTTGGGTGCTGTGTTTTGTGGCCACCTGTGGAAGGGGAGGGAGCATGGAGGAGTGATGAGCCTGCTCAGTTCTACTGGGGTCGGAAGTTGAGGGGTAAGCAAGGCCTGGATTGTATGTTCTTCAAGGAATCCCTTGGAATCTCTGGGATCCCTGAGGAGACCCACACCTCCAAGACAAGGCATGGTTGGGGTGGGCAGACAAGGCAGAGGTTTGGAGGGAAGATGTCTGGGACTTGGGGACATGGAGAGGCTAGAAATCAGGATGACTTGGAGTTAGTTCCTGTCTTGCCCTACTGGTGCAACCCCCAGCTGTGCCCTCAGTCCTGGCAGTTCCAAATGCACCCTTTATCATCCTCTGTAGTGGGTTGAGTGGTGGCCCCTCAAAAATATATGTCCCTAACCTAATGCTTGGACCCTGTAAATGTGACCTTACTTGGAAAAAGGGTCTTTGCAGCTGTAATTAAGGACTAAAGATGAGGTCATCCTGGATCACGTGGGTGGGCCCCAAATCCAATGACAAGTGTCCTTAGATAAGAGACACAGACACACAGGGAGGTAGACCACATGAAGATGGAGGCAGGCGGGTGATTCTGTCATTAGCCAAGGACACTGGGGTACCCAAAGCCAGAAGAGGCAAGAAAGGGTTTTCTCTACGGGTTTCAGAGGGAGTGTGGCCCTGTTGACCTTGATTGTGGACTTCTGGTCTCCGGGACTGTGAGAGAATACATTTCTGTTGTTTTAAGGCACCCAGTCTGCAGTGCTTTGTTATGGCAGCCCCAGGACAGGACACTCATACCCCACCTTCCTAAGTCAGGGACCACAACCCTGCTGTCTCCTCCTCCAGGGCTGGCCGTGTGCACGCATGCAGGCCTGATGACAGGGGAAAGGGCTGGCCTGGGCTGGAGGGAATCTGGGGAGCTCCCTGCCCAGCTCCACTCTCATGTACATGAGGAGAGAAGCGCACATGCCATGTCTGTGCCTGCGAGGTGCAGGCGAAGGGAGTGCCAGCCACAGCAGCAGCACAGCAAGGCCTTCAGGTACAGGTCTGTGAGAGCCATGCGGGCAGGCTGCATATCTGTGTCCTTGCTTGGCACAAGTATGTGAGAGGTGGCAGGTGGGTGGCCAGTCAATGTGCACTGGAGGTGACAGTACTGATGAGAGGTACATATGGAAGGTGTCCACATTTGTGTGGGAGGGTGAAGTATTTGTGTCACCGTGCGGGGGGACATCAGCAGGTGGGAGGTACAGATATATGCCTGTGCTCTCAAGAGATACCACTTATGTTCAGTTTGGACCCAGACCAGGGGCTCTCAGCAGTTCCCTGGGGACAGGTGTCACATGTGAGATGCACAGGTTGGCATGACTGGGTAGGTAGTACACTGCCCAAGGATGCCTGCTTAAGAAGGGTTCTTTGCATCTCATCTTGGGTGCATGTGTTTATCATGACAATTTTCCAGCAGCCCCCAGGAGCAGCTGCAGATGAAGGTGGGAGGGGCTGGCCCTTCTCCAAGGGGACTCCAAGTTGGCCAGAAGGTGCTTGTCCAATTCCTTCCTAGGAGCTCCAGCAGAGTGCCCAGCCCTATCTGGGACTGTCATGGGCAGTGTCCACACAGTTGATGGTCTTTGGCGGGTAGGCGCGTGCCAAAGGGTCAGCACATACCAAGCTCCAAGCTGAAGGGGGAGGTGCCTATGCAGGGTATTTACTGCACTGGACCCCACTGAAGGGCTGTCCCTGTCCTCACCCATCCAGCCCTCAACATCCCTGTTTAATGGCCAAGGACACTAAGCACAGAGAAGCCAAGAAACTCCTGAGCTTACGTGAGCCCAAATGCCAGGGTTCAGGGACCTGGCCTGGGCGACACCCAAGAGGCAATGGGCTGTGCCAGGTCTTACAACTTTGGCCCACAGAGAGGAATCACTGTGATGTCTCCCATATCTCTGACACCTTCCGTTCTTCCTTCCTGCAAAGTCCTTTCCAGAGCCTGTGATAAAGTGAACTGGCATCTTAAAATGCTTAACCATAGAGTTGGGAGGACTATGGTTGGGGCTGGGCCCCTTGTTAACTCTATAATCCTGACTTCCATTCATCCTTATGGTAATTCTGGGGGTCGGATTATAATAAAGGGATTAGCCATCTTGAAACCGGGGTCTTTCTGCCTCCACGTGGTTGCCGGTAGGAGCTCCATGTAGGAGGTGTGCTGTCTGCACTGCGGCAGTGGTCTTGCTTTTTTTTCTTTTCCCGAATAAACCTTTTCTTTTGTGGATTACTTGGAGAGTTATTTTTCGCCAGTTCAATGCCTGTAAGTACACTGTTCTCGCTCTCATCATGAACAGAAAAAAATAAAACAACCCTCTCTTGGCCAGTCCTCGGCGACCTCCACTCATCCCTTCCCTGTGCAGCAGTCACTGGCAACAGTCTCTGGTGCTTGCTGAAAGTTTTCTCTTTAAACTCCCCCCAGTGCTCTGCCCCCCAGCGCTGCTGTCCTGAGGGTCACTAGGGACTTTCTCCTTGAAGTGCCTTCTTCCCCTGGCTACCAGAAGCCCCTCTCCTGGTTACTCCTCGAGCCCCTACCCCTGGTGCTCCTTCTTGGTCTCCTTTGCAGATTCTGGACCCCAACTTTGGAGGCCTGAAGTTCAGACAGGGCCTTCTGCTGTTCCCGCCACCTCCCACCCCCAGCACAACACAATTCCCACATTTTTATCTCCAGTGCAGCCTCTGCCCAACTCCAGTCTCCAGCTGCCCACTCAACGTCTCTTCTGGGATGTCCCAAGTGTGTGCCTCAGGTTCCCCCAGGGTTTCCCCTGAGCACGGCTCCTATCTCGAGCCTGGGGCATGATGGTCCCTCAACGGGGATCACCGAAGTGGCCTTCTGGCTGGTCCTCGCGCCCCCCCACCCCACCCCCCAACTCCCAGGGTCGGCCCTGACTGCTCCAGTCTGTTCCCACCCAGCCGCCGAAGGGATCCTGTAAGCCAGTGCATGTCATCCTGCTCAAGACCCTCCAGCGCCCCAGAGCCTCTGGCCCTCCATGACGGCCCCTCTGGCCACTCCGCGCAATGTTCCAGCCACGCAGGCCTGTCTGTGGTCCAGGGCTTGTCCACGCTCTCAGCGATCCGGCTTTGCCAGGTCCATCCTCACCACCTAACCAACACTGGCCCGGGCACCCGGCTCCTGAGCCCCGGGTCTCACCCTGTTTGTCTTCTTATCACAGCACGAATCAGCTTCTCACACACCACGCGGTGCACGATTTACAGTGTTCACTGTTCGGTGTGTGAGGGGCCGAGGGTGTCGTCCTCGCCGCGCCCTGCGCATACAGGGCTCATCAGTGCCCGGTCCAGGAGTGAACGGACGGCGCAAGCCTACTCGTCCCGGGAGCGCCACCAGACCATCCTCGCCCAGTCCCCATAGAGGCTCGCGAGTGGGACCCGCGCTCGGGGGCGGGAACTTGCCCTCGGGGGCGGAGCCCGGGCTGAGGGCGGGGCCCCAGGTGTGCCGGAAAACCGCTCCCATTGGCCTTGGGCGGCGGCAGAGTCGGACTGTACCAGCTCCCGTGTGGGGGAGGACGGCTCGGGGCGCCCACTGGCGGGGGCTTACACACCCCCAATTCTCCAAGAACACTGGTCTCCTGGGAGTTTGTATTGCATTAAACAGTGTTTCCAATGCCTCAAGACCCCGGCTGCGAGGAGCGGCGTCTCTCTCCACTTCAGGCCTTTCTTTCTCTCCCTGGTCCCAGTGGTTTCCGCCAACGGGCGGGGCGGGAGGTTCCCGGAAGCCAGCTCCGTGCACTTCCGGGTCGGGGAGCGCGCGGCGGCGGCGGCGGCGGCGGCGGTGGCGGTGGCCCGGCCTAGTCTTGGCTCCCGCTCGGGCAGCGTCGGCGGGCGCCCGGGAGCTGCCGGCGGGCCGTGAAATTCCTGGGTACGTGTGGAGGTGGCGCTGGCC